GTGAGAGAGAGTGTTAGAATATTTAAATATTAAATTTCGAAAGTCACTGCTCCCAGGTTCGATTCCCCAGCTGAGCACTTGTGATTTAAGTGGAGGGTCATGGCGGTGGGTTGCTGTGCTAGTCTCCCCCGAGGAATAGTTGAGGTGCGCGCAAGCTGGTCCGGACACCTCAGTTACAAAAAAAAAAAAATAGTGATCTTACAAAATCTCATAATGATCTCTCCTTTTTTTGTTGGTTGGGTGCGAAATTTGCATGTTTATCTCGTACTTGTATTATAGAAGCATATATCTCGGTATTTCGATAGAATAATATTTTACTCACGACGGGCACCTTAACTTTTTTGCTATCTTTAAACCCTCATTCCCATTAGCCAACCATGGCCAAACGAATAACCCTCGGTGCAACTGCCTCAAACTCACTCGAACAACCCTGAAGTCATGATACATAAATACTTTTAATCGTAAAGATCATTTGGACTGTATGCAGTTAATGAAAAGATTAACAAATAAGCGACAAATTAATGCAATTGGCTTCGACAAGCTTTATGCATTGAAAGGAGGCATCACTTTGGCATATCAGCCTTTGAAATTTTACAAAAAGATGTGGTTATAAGTAATCTTATGGTAAACGAAGAAAAGCACGTGCTGATGCTTTTGTGTCGTGGTAGGCGATTTGCACCAATCAGTGAATTCTTTTGAGGCCATCTTTGCACCCGTTTTGGAATGGCATCTAGCGATTTTATTCCTGATAGTGGGATTATTATGTCCCTAAGTGGAGGGGCCTGGATTATTGTTAATAAAAGACGCCAGTTGGACTAAAAATTAGTGGGTTTCTTTTGGTACATGTGGCTCATTGTGTAGTGTTGTACAAGGTTGACTGAAGCAATTCAAAACAAAGTCAAAGCACGCTTTGCTTACTACTGGGAGAACGAACAGATAGCCGCCAATCTGATAGCAAATTTCAGCACATCTGTGGGCATCTTAGGCTGGCTCTTGCTGAATATCAAGAGTTATAAATCTTATTTCTTGTGAAATTCGATGGGAGATTAGTTTTCAGTTCTTTTTCAGATAATAATATCAATGATGATAATAACGATAATAATAATGGATAATAAAGAACAGAATTAGTCAACTTTTTTGTTTTTGGGGTACAGAACAAACTTGGAATCAGCCATAATATAAAGAAGTATATGTTGGCAATGGGACTTTGCGGGCCTATTTTGCAGACTAGCCTGCTCATCTATATCTAAATAACTACATAGTTAGAGACTGTAACCTTATTTGTTATCCTCAATGGTTGTCGCGCGGATTGTTAAAAACTCACGAAAGAGCTTAAGCGTGTCTGCAGAGAGAGGGTTTCTAGAGTTCTCCTTATTTTATGCAAATTTTCTTAATCGCATCGAAGAAATCTACACGTTAGGGGATACGCCCCTCATGGGGCACAATGCTTTTGCAATCTTTATAGAGTTCTCCTTATTTTATGTAGTTTTCTGAAGTGCATGCTTTCTCTCTCTCTCTCTCTCTCTCTCTCTCTCTCTCTCTCTCTCTCTCTCTCCAATTTAGCTGCTGTCGTCAGGCATCACCGCCATGCAATCCATAGTCAGCATGTCTCTAGTTTTTGGACAGATGCGAACGCGAGATAGCAGCAACTCTCCATCAACTCGGAAGCGACAACAAAGTAGTGGAGGCGGGGGCATCGGCAACCGCCATGTAGAACAACAGTTAATCATCTTCGCGCTCATCTTTGCACATTAGAAGAAAGGACGGGCAACGTACTTCAGAAGTAGCTAACCAGAGAGCACATTTCATGACCTCAATTACAGAACTTCAACTTCTGGTCGAAATATATCAATAAGCAGCATGTGTCAATTGCATAACATTCCGCATAACTAGGGACGCTCTTTGATCGGCTGCTGAAACATCAACTTGTGCATGCAATCATTTGGTGGCCATAAAGTGGACTAACTTTATATGGAGCTAAGCTGGAAGTAGCTCTAACCCGATTCGATTGTAGCTGGCGGGAGTGAGCGCCTCAAGATCCTTGAATTAAATATTTAAATTTTCTATTTCAATAAGTATTTATTCTCTACAAAATTTTTTTTTTTTAAATCATCATCAACTTTCCCCTTAACTACAGTTGCACCATCTAGTTTCAAAAGATATATGAACTTTGAGGACTATGGCCCCGTTTGGTTCAGCATTCCCAATGCTCATTTGGCCTCTAAAGTCCCTTGGCCAAATGCAAATAGCGTTTGGCAATTTTTTTTACTCACTTTGGGGAAATGCAATTGCATTTGGAATGCTGGCCAAGGGACCTTTGGCCAATGCACCTCTGAAGGTGCTTTTGGGAAGTTGCATTTTCGGAATGCAACTTGCACTATTCATCGACACTGTTCATCTTCCCCAAATCGACGTCCGGCAGCCGGCGGCCGCCGCCTGAGGGCTAGCCCGACTCCGGCGACCACTTGCCCGGGGTCGCGCGACCCGGCGACCGCCGCCCGGGGTCGCCAGAACCTCGGCGGTCGCCTAGGTCGCGCGACCCAGTAACGCTCGCCTAGGTCGCGAGACCCAGGCGACCGCCCGAGGTCCGGTGACCCAGGCGGCGGTCGCCGGGGTCGCGCGACCCCGGCGGTGGTCGCCGGAGGGTCGCGCGACCCGGCGACCGCCGCCTGGGTCGCCGGACCTCGGGCGGTCGCCCGGGTCGCGCGACCTAGACAACGCTGCTGGGTCGCGAGACCCGGCGACGCCCGAGGTCCGGCGACCCAGCGGCGGTCGCCGGGTCGCGCGACCCCGGCGGTGGTCGCCCGAGGGTCGCGCGACCCGGCGACCGCCGCCCGGGGTCGCGGACCTCGGGCGTCGCCCGGGTCTCGCGACCCAGTAACGCTTCGCCCGGGTCGCGCGACCCGTGCGACCGCCCGAGGTCCGGCGACCCCAGTGCGTCGGCTGGGGTCTCGCGACCCCAGGCGGTGGTCGCCGGCGACCAGATCTGGCCGTCGGCGGTTGGCCGGCGACCAGATCTGGCCGGAGGCGGTGGCCGGCGATGTAGCTCCACCGGAGTTTTTTTTTAAAAAAAAAATAACCCAAAGGTCCTTTAGCCCAAGTTGATTTTATAAAACACTTACCAAACACTACTTGCATTTCGGAAAACCCCTTTAGCCCAAAGGTATTTGCATTCCCCCAAATGCATTCCCCCAAAGCCGAACCAAACGGGCCCTATTTATGTGCCCATTTAAAAGCTGTCTATTGCTGTGTTTTCTGCATGGATATTTGTGCCTATATTAAGCTAGATGATGTCGTTTTAATCACCATGTCAACGGTCAAGGAGACAATGCTACCAAGTGACAATATAGAATGCGGGAGAATTAAAGAAACATTATGGTCAGAATCTGAATAATGCAGTATCTCAGGCAAAACCTTTGTTATGTGGAAACGATCAATAAAAGGAAACGTCGCATGGAATATTGCAAGATAATTGATGCATGCACGCACTACAATATAGTTTGAATTGATGGTGTCAAATAGATTGCAATCTATGTTTGATTAATTTGTTTGATTGAGAATAACCCTGCATGCAATGGCATTGTTACACCTAAGAGGAAAGAATATAAATATAAATATATATAAAAGATTAAAGATTGTAATTCTCTAAATTTAGAAGGCAAATGTATATGTTTTAAAGTGTTCCTCCTTGAGTGACGTATCAGCAACCCAAATGAAGCTCATATTAACCTTCATCGTCAAACAAAATATATTAACATTATAGAAAGAGCATTGCTAGTATAACGGCATTTTTACTGGCTTGCTTCCAATTAGTAACGGTGCAAGTTGGACCACACATTCTATTTTGTATAGGATGGGCAACCGGAGCACAATATCTGTGAGTGAGCAATAGTTTCAAAATTTCATATTCATGTAGATTTCATATAGATTTGGGTTTTACGCTGAGAGATACTTTAACCGGTGTCATTATTCTAGCCCAAAAAAAGGCACTCCATAGGAAATTCTATAGTAAATTTAGGTGATATTGCCAAAAATGGAAAAGAATAATAAAATTTACGAATTAATAAATTCCAAAAGTAGATATCCTATTGATACGCTTAAACCATTTTTTCCTAGTTTGTTTTCGATTTGGAGTTCCTTTTACAATAATTGGGTTGATGAAAATATTTTGCAAGAATGGCTGAGACGAATATTCAATTAAAGATGCTAACGAAGAAGATATCACTACAATAAGGAACAAGGAACCCGTCTTATCTTAAATAGGTATAGAGTTCGACTCTTATCAGGTGACATATTTAATTATATCTATGCCAGAAAGCTAAATTTGGCATTAGAGTTTTAAACTCTAACAAAAGGAAAAATAATAATGAAAGTATAATTCTTTAGCATGTGATAGAAGATTGATGTAATGAAAAAAGAAAAATCAACTCAAAATGTAACATAAGAATTAGATCTAATGTAAGCCGAATATTAGTTACACATGAAACATGTGATATATGGACATAATTTAATCTAATGATTAAGTGACTGTCGTTAATCCACTGTGAGATTAACAAACTATTCTATGTCAAAAAAAAAAATATCAAATAATTATAAATTATTGTGAGGTATACTCGTTTAAGAATTTGTGGCTCACAATATACCGTTACTCCCATAGTAGCCTAAAGACTGTTATGCTAGCAAAGCCCATAAATAGACAATCGACAGTAGGAAAATACTGGATATCAAGAGTGATAAACTAAAATACATGAAAGAGATAGTTGGGATTTGAACCCATGAATGTAGCCAAATACCCCTGTAAAAAAAGACAAGCAACATATTCTAAAAGTTTGGCTATCAAGAAACCGAGAACATATACTACACAATCATTTGCATTCTCCTTCTAAAGTGTTTAGTCACAGTTCAATAACAGACCGACTTGATATCGGGGTGTGTTTGTTTCGATGAAGATTTCACGATAAAAGAAAATATTTTCCGAAAAATGCATTCCGCTTTGCAGATTACAGAATTCATTTTTCTAACTTTAAGCATGTGTATTTTCCTTACCCATAAATGATTTTCTGTTAACCGATCATTTTCAGCAAACCAAACGAGTGAAAATCCAGAAAACGAATTTATGGAAAATTCTTTCACTCAAACAAATACGCCCTTATTTTCATATCTTCTACCACACACGTGTGTTTTGCGAACCTTCAAATCACCTTCCAGTAAAGTAGCGATCAATCTGAAACAAGATGACAGGAGAACACATATCCAAGGACATCAAGCACGATAAGATGAAAATCAGGTATTAAACACTAGTATCGTATATAAATCTAGAGTGTAGAAACAAAATAAATACCTAAGAAATGCTAAAACACCAACAGTTACAGCTTGGACATATACTGAAGGTAATCGTTGAATCCATAAGAGATACAGAAACAAATCCAACTTTCATTTCCATAGTCTTCTTGTTCTTCTGTTGCCTTTGAGATCAAACAATACATACTACAGTCCCTAGACAAACCGTTTGAAGTCAGAGAATCACAATACGCAGACTAGGAGGAAATACACACAACAAGCTCTCGCACTCTCTCACACTCGCACATAGTTCAAAAGGTCACATAATAATGATTCAAAACATAATCGACATACCTTAGTAAGTTGATGCATCTTCCTTAATAACAACCTAATTAAACCACCTCAGACATGATTCAGATTTAAAGACAATATTAGATCCGTAAATATAAGGCAAAGCTCCAACTTTATAGATGTAGATTTGCTTCAAACGGGACAAAATAAACAAATCGATCGGACCGTGATGCTTCGATTCCCCGGATAGAGAGAAGAGACGATGACTAGAGAAAATGAACTGAAGTTCCTTGATCTGGAAGAAGCAAAGTCCTTCCACTCACGAAAGATAGGGTTTCTTCTTCTTCAGCGAACCCATCCTCATCTCCTATCAAGCCTCGTTCGAATCTGATCCTTTCCCTCTTCCTAGTTCTGAAATTTGGAGCGAATGATGGTGATGGTGACTTTTGTGGGCTTGGTGGAGGTTGAGAGATGGTGTGTGGCGGACTAATGTGAGGGGTTAATGATGAGAGAAAGGAGGAGGAGGAAGGGGAGGAGGAGAAGCTGGAGAACATGATGATGATGATTGCTTCAGGCTGTGTTTTGCCTTTGAGTAGATGAGATATGGGTGGATATACGAGAAAGAATTTCTTTTCTTTTGCCTGCTAATATTGTCAAGCCTTTTGATTCCCACACATGGAGGTAATTATCTCTCTCTCGGGTCAAACAACCCTTTCACCTATATATATATATATATATATAGAGAGAGAGAGAGAGAGAGAGAGAGAGAGAGAGAGAGAGAGAGAGATCACATTGCTATAATCTCTTTTCATGAAAAGGAACAAAGGAACTTATGTGCGTTTTGTTGGCGGACAATAGAAAAACCTGCAAAATTTTTTGTGGAAATAGTTCATTACAGATTTTTTCTTCCATCGATTCTAATGAATTCAAATGCATCTCTTAGAGTATGAATTGAGAGTCTATTCACACTGCATCTTGAAAACTTTTTCAGTTTAACCCGACTGGTTTGTCTAGCACGGTATTCTTTTTGAGCATGGCACTGATTGAAAAGGGTGTTCTTCTTTGAAAATCTGCGGTAGATAGGGAATGGCCAAGCTGAAACTAATTGCTTAGGTTATTAGAACTTCCAGTGTAAGTTTTGCCATGCATCCACCGTTTGTGTTGCAGTAGAGATCGTAGTAAGTTGTGAGAGATCTCGATGTGTATGGGCAAGTAGGGTAATACCCGTAGAGATGGAGAGGCTCGCGGCTAAATCACTGGGTGTTTCCTTACGATTTATCTTGCATTTTTCACTTTTCATTTGTTGCGTCATTTTTGCCCAACAAAATGGAAACATGTGCTTTGTACATGCGGTATCCTGACCTAGATTTCAGAATTACTCACGAGATTTTTTCACTCAACTTAATGTTGATGAAACCCTAATCTCGTTCTTTTATCGTTTTGCATTTGAATCACTTCAATCTCCTTTTGCCAACCGATGTGCTGGTATTAAGTGTACAAATTTCATTCAAGTCGGTCGTATTAATTATCTACATTTCTTTAATCTGTGTTTATGTTGATTGGAAAATGTTAAACTCAAGGGAAAGAGAATCACTTCCTCCGCAGCAGGTCCGAGGTCAGCGCTTAGCCCTAACGCGTGAGATCTCAGAAGTAAACATTACATACAGTGAAATTAGACTAGCCCGGTTCAATCCCCAACTAAACTTTAGAGTTGACCCTTTACAAAGTTACCATTTTCACCGGCTTTTGTCATCTATCTGCTTGACTCTGGGGACTCTCTGGCGTGCCTCTTCTCCCTTAACTTTAAGCAACAGATTGATCATTGTTGGCTTGGCCCTACAAGGTTAAAAGGACAAGAAGACATCGAATGATCAAGCGGCTGTTAGTAAAGCTTGTACTGTGAGTTGTGCATCTTAGACTGAAAAAAGTGAGTCCAACCAAAAATGTCAACTACAGTGGTTTATATTTGGAAGCAAGATTCGCGGAAGTATATAACAAGATCGTTCGAGATAGATCGTATTCTTATCGGTCGTGAAGGCCATGAGGCAATGAGCTGGTGGAGTCAAGTCTTTGGTATATACATATAATAAGAAATATTAATGACATTGGTTCTAAGCTTTCCATTCATCTATAGAAGTGCCTTTTCAAGATGAGCCTCGGAATCGACCCATCTCGAATATCACAAGTATCAACGATCAAACTATCTTGCGGCGCTCATCTTAGAATCAACCAATTTCGCACAACCGGCGTATTGAACATGTCTTACTAAATGTGATTAAGGAGAGCACTTCAGATCACTCGTTAACAAGGGAATTCTGCAAACCTCGACGGAGAAGAACATACCCATCCCTACGTCAACCCACTTTGTCATTTATGAAGGCAATGATGATGCCTCCATTTGCTGGGGCAAGCAAGAAAAGGTGAAGGGAATGTAGCTTTTTTTGTGGTGGGCGAGGTGAAAAATGATTGATGTTTGGGACCGGTGAGAGGAGCCATGAGGCTTGTTGCTTCCCCCAATCATGGTGTTTTGCGGTTCCACTCAACTTATCGTACCCCTCCCCACTCGATGTTTGTGTTGTTCCTTGGCATATTTTGGCTCCCATTTCAAGCAAGAGCTACTCATAAGATAGGAAAAAAGATGCCTCTATTTCTTTTTACCCCTTTGAAATTATGGTTCTTTCTAGATTTATCATTCGCTTGACCAAGTTTTCGAGATAAATCACCTCAACACTTGCTGAAGTCTAATGAAGATATATTGACAGATAGCTTTTGTCGAATTCGAAATTCTTGCCCTCGAATGAAAGCATGCCCAGTTCATGAAATTTCAAAGGGTATAGATTTAAGTGACGTTGAAACGGTCACTTCAACAGCTCAGCATATTATTTGTCTTTCGTGGTTGAACCACCTCTGGAAAATGTTGCAGTTCCCCTTGACATACTTCATTTATAATTTTATTCGAAAGTGTAAATTTTATTACGTGGTAAGGTGCAAGTGGGTTTTTTTTCCTTTCCTTGCATCATACGTTATTTTTCAAGTTTCAAAGTATGTCGATGAGCGTATTTTGACTAATTTCAATCGCCTACACAGTGCTTTATATAGGCATTTTCAACGCAGAGTGAAAGAGAACTCACACATTTACTGAAAAATTTCAATTGACAAAGAGCTTCACAGCTGTCAACGCACCACAATTTCAACCCTTCAAAATGTTACCTCCGTGAAGAAGTAATGTTTCGTGACTCATTTCGCGAGTTATGTCGTCGATAGGCAGTATAGGAACTATACGATAATTTCTATTTCTTCCAAATGAATTTCAATTACAAATTCTCGATTTCAATATAGGATCTAACTTGTTCTAGTATAACCGGCCGAGATAAAATCTTGAAAATAATCCCAGAAATCTCTATCTCCTGTGGGATTATTGTCAGCTGGACTCCTTTTCGATATGGCGATGCTGGATAGTTGCGACTCGCTTTCGCAACAATAAGAATGTTGGGTTAAAGTGGGGAAAATGATTGCGGGGTTAGACTCAAAGGGCTCTTGATTAGCACGGACGAAAAGTCACAAAAACGCCATCGTTGACTTGAATGCTCCGCCATTTCCTTCTTTTGTCAGCTTCTGCAAAAAATTTCGAATCTTTACCATTGTTAGAAATCTGTGCAGACGATGATGTGGTAAGTGGGCGATTCTAAAGCAAGGACATAACGTAAGATGAGGATTTTTCTGCCGACACATGTAACATTTTGCTCCCTAATTGCAATGGTAAGAAAATGTATAGGTTAGTCGAGCTGATGAGATGACTATAACTTTGCATCCTAGGTAAGAACCTGTCTCGAACTGAATTTTCCACTCGACGCCGCATCTTTGAATCGCGTCACAGACCTAAACTTTCCAAAAGTCTCCACGTCCATGACCTGCACCTGTTTTTCGCGACTTTTCCGGCACTTATTCCCCATGCAAGAGGAAAAGAAATTCATTGGTTATTTGATATTTATCATTCCAGAGAAATTTCATACGCTGTCTAAAAATATGAATACAGAGTCATGGAAAATACCGGAAATGTTCGCAATCGGTAATTTGTAACATTAGAACTCATCAAAACTCTTTTTTTCATTTATGTATTTATGCATATAGCTTTTGTCTTCCCCTTGCAGGGAGACCACATGTGCATGAGCATCATTAGCTTCCTATATTTGAACTTCAGCAATTGCACCGGAATGTGTACTTGCTGGAGCTATTTGGTGAAAACCTAGCATAGCTCCCTCCATTGAAATTTCTCACCTTACCAAGAGGATTTTAGGTGAGACTCCATCATAAGCTGTCCCAAACATGGCCCCTCAAAGGAAAATAAGGAAATCTTTGGATACCCATTTGTCAAATGATATCGTCGAAAAAGCATTATTTTTCCATTTACACTATTTGGTATAAACTCTTTCTGATTGTACCTCTGGCCAGTTGTGGATATCAGGCACATACAAATTCTTAATTGTACGTGAGGGGCGATGTTCATGCTTATAACTGACCAGTCAAAAACATGATTGGAGCGAATTTTCTCTAATTAGGGTTATAGTCATACCACGAAAAACGCAGAGAGAATCATCTCCATTTGTTTTGCGAAAAATGAATGATTCAGAAAATATTTTTTTTAAAAAAATGATTGCTTAAGATATGGATAAACAAAAAATATTTTCATCGTTCGCAAAAATGTTTAGATATAAATTGTTGTCGACGATAAAAATATTTTCCATCGAGTAGTTATTTTAAGCGATATAAATAATCATTTTTAGAAAAATATTTTCTGAATCACTCATTTTTCGCATGACAAAGGGAGCCCAAGTCATTATGTCATTAACTTCGTATTATCACAGCAGCTTGTCAATGATGTTCATTTGCTAATGGGCTGAATGGGGAGCTGTCGCATATTCAGTGGAACATATACAGGCTTTAAATTCCATCGAAGAATCCGTACGGGCCATTGGGCCTTATGGGCCGAAAAGACGGGCTTGAAGGCCGGTTGTTCTGGGCCGACCTTAACCGAACGGGCTCTGACCCGTCCGACCCGATCACATTCTTTCTTGCCTAATCACTGATTTAATAGTAGCAGTAGTAGCTGTTAAAAGCTGATTATGAGATCTCGTTATCTTTTTAATCAACGTTATGCTGATGACTCAGCACTCACCACCAGATCTTTGTGGAGTATCCCGGTACGGAATCCATGTTATTTTATGCCGATAATATATCAGAATTCTCTTGACGGGGATGAAGCGCGATGTAACGTGGCGAATCATCGAAAGTCTGTGTACACTTTGCATGCGTGTTTTTCGATTCCAAAGTTGACATGACAAATCCAACAAAATTGAAGTTAAGACGGTGTGAAAAATCATTGCCGCCTCTCTAGCTCCGGACATATCACAAAGCGTACATTTTCAGTTGATTCTTAATTGATCTTGAAATTGGTCTCTTGCAATCAATAACGGACCGAGGTGGTGGTTGGCAAGAGGAGCCATTGCATCCCCCCTCGGTCTACTTGGTGTTTGGTATAGTTTCTCACGAATATATTCTATTATATGAAATTCAAATGAATAAAAAATTGTCAAAAAAAGTCATAATCCTATTATATAGTGGCCAATTCAGTCATAAACTTTTTAATTTTGCTAATTTAGTCATAAACCTATTGTACGCTCTCGCCCAGGGACCGATGGGGGTCGCTGGCCCTTGGCCAGTGGTCGGCGGCCCTGCAGGCTCA